AGAAAATCGATTGACATAATATTTTTTCCAATAAAAAAAAGACATTTTTATTAACTCTCATGTGTTTCTTTTAAATTAGTTAAGATAAGAAATAGATAGATATACTGTAGATAGGTAAGTTATAGGTTTCAACAACATTTACTCATGCACATAGCCAAGGAGGCAGAGATGCAAAAATATTAATTTAATTCCATACAAAAAGTTTTATTTGCCAGCGCAAAGTACAATAATGTGCAAAACAAAAAGACAACACTCTTCTTTTGTTTAGCACTTTAATATTTCACTCTGCACTGGCACTTTTTTTTATTCTTTTAAGTATGGAACTGGCTGATGGACTAAATAAGGGTTATGCTTACGATTAAGGGGAAGCTTGGACATAAATAACTTGCAATTAACTAATTAATGAATTAATGAATTAATTAATGAATTAATACTTTATTGTCCCATAGGGAAATTTGTCTGCAACAACATATTCAAATTTCCCTATGGGACAATGTGTTCATTCATTCATAATTAAGTGCAAGCTATTTATGTCCAAGCATCCCTTTAACTGTAACTCTTATTTAGTCTTTCAGCCAGTTGTATACTACAAATAATACAAAACCCTATTATAAATACAGCATCAAACACCTTTGCTGCAGTAAAGGTAAGACAGTTTGCCATAAAACATCAATCAACATAGTATCATGAGTAGATCCTATTCTCAGGGCAGCATGCCAAGTTTGAGATGTAGTCAGTAACAAGGCAGACACATGCAACAGGTTTCACTGACTCAAAGAAGTCCTCATGTTGATGGACCAACACACATGGGTGAGAGAATTTACTTCAGATATAGTCTGCATCCAAAGGGCTCAGGTCAAAAGTAGTGCACTATTTTGGGAATAGGGTGCAATTTGGGATGCAGCCTGTCTGAAGGAGATGCTTAACAACTTTCCCAGAACCAGACAGTGAGGGAGTATACCATACCAGATGTTATGTCTGTTTTTCTCCCCAACCGAACAGACTTGTTCTGGGGATCCATGCCAATACTCTGTGGCTCCTGCGGTAACGGGTAAAATAGTATTTGGACCTGGCATCAAATCGAAGAGATTCCTTTTTTTCCTCTTTGGTAACAAAAACATATGTTTTTGTCAGTGGGAAAAAAACATCCTCTTTAGTCTTTTAGTGGCTCAGACTGGTTTTTTTAAGCTCCAGAGAGGATTGTGTTCACCTGCCTCAGTGCCTCTGCAGATTTAGCACATTCTTTTGATATTGAAAAAGACATGCTACTCTTATGTTTGGTTTCCCTCTGGCCCATGCTTAATGAAAAACCGTTGATCATTTGGCATCTGTGTATAGCCTCAGGCTTAGTCCAGACAGGGGTGCTATATAACATTCACAGAAACACACCCAATAAACAGAGGGTATAGGGATATAAATGTTCCTCTGAGACCCTCTTTCTCTGTAGCTGCTTAATCACTTGCATGACGTTGCCAACTGCATTCCCACTGGGCACAGACATCAATTCAACGTCTATTCCACGTTGGTTATTAAAGTGACACTGGTCGCTTGAATAATGTTTACATACTGTTTTGCCCACTTCATATGTATATACTGTATTCTAGTCAAGGCCTATCCTATTTAACTATTGCTGTACATATACTATTCTATCCTACGTATTCTTCAGATATACTACATATTCTATCCATATAGTGTCCATAATGTCTATACATCATATCAAATATATATATTCATACTACGGAGTCCGACATTGCTCGTCCTAATATTTATATTTAAGCAATAAGGCCCAAGAGGGGGGGTGGTATATGGCCAATATACCACGGCTAAGGGCTGTTCTTATGCATGACGCAACAAGGAGTGCCTGGACACAGCCCTTAGCCGTGGTATATTGGCCATATAGCGCAAACCCCTGATGTGCCTTATTGCTATTATAAACTGGTTACCAACATAATTAGAGCAGTAAAAATAAATGGTTTGTCATACCGGTGGTATATGGTCTGATATACCACGGCTTTCAGCCAATCAGCATTCAGGGCTCGAACCACCACATTTCTTTATTCCATTCTTTACTTTTACTCTTTAGATTTGTGTGTATTGTTAGATATTACTGCACTGTTGGAGCTAGGAACACAAGCATTTTGCTACACCCGCAATAACATCTGCTAAATAATTTATGTGTATGCGACCAACAACATTTTATTTTATTTGAAACAACGTTGATTCAACCAGTGTGTGCCCAGTGGGCAGCTCTATGCATTTATCAGAAGGCGTTTTATTCAGTCTGTATGCAAATGTATTATTGGAGGGAAAATTTAGCCTGGCCTCCATTTATATAGCTTAAATGTAATACGACTGCACTTCAAAGCCACGAGTTCTCACTTGCCAATTTCTTATTGATAGCTTGAGAGCAGAGGCTTCTAACCTTGAATTTAGCAAGGCAGCGGCTGCGAACAAACCCCACCCTCCGTCTCTTCATTGGTGCTGTAGCAGAGAATTCACGTTCATTCCCCAATGAGAGATGATTTGTAGCGGAGTCCGGGCAGCGAGCTCCTTGTTAGCGGTTCGCGTCTTGGCAGGGGAGCGTGTTTTCCACCACGTTGCTATGGGACGCGGGGAACAGCAGACGTAGGTTAGGTTAGACCAGGGCAGCTGCTACAGAGGCCCATGCAGAGACAAACCTGCACTGTCTGACGGAGGCTATCGGCTGGGAATGGGATCAAAGGTCTGTCAACGCTAGGCAGGTTTCAGTGCTCTAAACCTGCTGAACCTCCCACCTCCATCTAACCTAACAAACACCTCACAAACACTCACCAAGGAGTCATGGATGAGGATGAAGAAATGTCACACTGCCACAGTTTGGTTCTACGGAGGTGCAGACATGTACACTGCTCAAAAAAATAAAGGGAAACTTAAACAACACAATGTAACTCCAAGTCAATCACACTTCTGTGAAATCAAACTGTCCACTTAGGAAGCAACACTGATTGACAATAAATTCCACATGCTGTTGTGCAAATTGAATAGACAACAGGTGGAAATTATAGGCAATTAGCAAGACACCCCCAATAAAGGACTGGTTCTGCAGGTGGTGACCACAGACCACTTCTCAGTTCCTATGCTTCCTGGCTGATGTTTTGGTCACTTTTGAATGCTGGCGGTGCTTTCACTCTAGTGGTAGCATGAGACGGAGTCTACAACCCACACAATTGGCTCAGGTAGTGCAGCTCATCCAGGATGGCACATCAATGCGAGCTGTGGCAAGAAGGTTTGCTGTGTCTGTCAGCGTAGTGTCCAGAGCATGGAGGCGCTACCAGGAGACAGGCCAGTACATCAGGAGACGTGGAGGAGGCCGTAGGAGGGCAACAATCCAGCAGCAGGACTGCTACCTCCGCCTTTGTGCAAGGAGGAGCAGGAGGAGCATTGCCAGAGCCCTGCAAAATGACCTCCAGCAGGCCACAAATGTGCATGTGTCTGCTCAAACGGTCAGAAACAGACTCCATGAGCGTGGTATGAGGGCCCGACGTCCACAGCTGGGGGTTGTGCTTACAGCCCAATACCATGCAGGACGTTTGGCATTTGCCAGAGAACAGCAAGATTGGCAAATTCGCCACTGGCGCCCTGTGCTCTTCACAGATGAAAGCAGGTTCACACTGAGCACATGTGACAGACGTGACAGAGTCTGGAGACGCCGTGGAGAACGTTCTGCTGCCTGCAACATCCTCCAGCATGACCGGTTTGACGGTGGGTCAGTCATGGTGTGGGATGGCATTTCTTTGGGGGGCCGCACAGCCCTCCATGTGCTCGCCAGAGGTAGCCTGACTGCCATTAGGTACTGAGATGAGATCCTCAGACCCCTTGTGAGACCATATGCTGGTGCGGTTGGCCCTGGGTTCCTCCTAATGCAAGACAATGCTAGACCTCATGTGGCTGGAGTGTCAGCAGTTCCTGCAAGAGGAAGGCATTGATGCTATGGACTGGCCCGCCCGTTCCCCAGACCTGAATCCAATTGAGCACATCTGGGACATCATGTCTCGCTCCATCCACCAACGCCACGTTGCACCACAGACTGTCCAGGAGTTGGCGGATGCTTTAGTCCAGGTCTGGGAGGAGATCCCTCAGGAGACCATCCGCCACCTCATCAGGAGCATGCCCAGGCGTTGTAGGGAGGTCATACAGGCACGTGGAGGCCACACACACTACTGAGCCTCATTTTGACTTGTTTTAAGGACATTACATCAAAGTTGGATCAGCCTGTAGTGTGGTTTTCCACTTTAATTTTGAGGGTGACTCCAAATCCAGACCTCCATGGGTTGATAAATTTGATTTCCATTGATAATTTTTGTGTGATTTTGTTGTCAGCACATTCAACTATGTAAAGAAAAAAGTATTTAATAAGATTATTTCATTCATTCAGATCTAGGATGTGTTATTTTAGTGTTCCCTTTATTTTTTTGAGCAGTGTATTTTATATTAAGTGTAAGGCAATGTAGTTCAAACAGGCAGGGGATAAATCATGAATTGGAGGTCACCTGTGTTCATGTTTACTGCCGTTAAAATGTGGTTTGGCAATATTCAAGTACCGGCATTCAGCCTCCAAAACATGTCCTGATATGACCTAAAGGTTGAGCCAAACTGAGTGAGCCTTGTGTTATAGTCTGGTAGACCAGTGAGAGCATTGTAAACTCTGACGAGAAGGAAATAGAACTCCACTTCAGAGTGGCAGTGAAATGAACTAACATATTACCGTAATGCAGTTAGACTGAATATCCTGTCTGGCAGTAGTCCACACATTGGAGTAGTCCACGCACTGTGAGCCTTCAACACTGTGGGTAGAGAGCAAGCTGAAGACACTGTATCCCTTTTGCTAGAAGAGAATGGACATGAGCTACTTAAGGTTATTCAATCAAACCGCAGACCTAAGGTCAGGTCAAGGTGAATAACAGACAAAAAGAAAAAGAGAACATTGAATCCTACGCCAAGAAATTTAAAATACGCCATCGTTAAAAGAGTAGAATACTGAAAGTCTTTAATTAAGGCTTTTAACATTATACATAGAGAGGGTTTTTGAAAGAGATCTTTAATTGAGAAAGGATCAAGTTCCCTTCCTTGTCATTAAATGTCCATGTCTCCCAGCAGTTAGAGCAGTTATTGCTGGGCTGAAACTCCATGTATGGTACATCCAGTTCAGAGTCCTTTTGTCATAATATCTGTATTCCCTTTATAAACCTCTGTTGATTAAATATACTTAATTTTATAGTAAAATATCTATATTCCCCTTTTCTCATCCAGGGTTGATTTCACAGTCTTTCTTTTACAGTTCATAGTCCTTGGTATATGATATCAGTATTCCCCTGGGGTTATTGGCCTGGAATCATTTTTTATTTCATAGCCCTTTTCTCATACCGTGCTTCCAGGAATGAAACTTTCACCTTGGTTTTTGATAAAGCTCCATCCTCCAGTCCCTTTGTCATCCAATGCCGCCTTTAAAAATGTACAAAACAGCCAGTCGAAAATGGCCTAAAATTGTATTAGTGTATCAGTATTGACTGCTCTCTTCTTTTTCCAGATACAATGGTTATATAACTGCACTGTATTGTCATCAAGAATATACAGTAACTGAATATACATCATTTGGTATGCATAGCTATTGATAAAGTGTAAACAGTATTTAGTTAAGAGGGCTTTATATTTTCACCAGTCCAGTCATGGCTTTAATCTGTTTTTGGAGCAACTGCTGTAAATCTTTTTTTTAAAACATGATAAGTTCCTTGCTGATTGGCTTGTTCAGTTTTGCTCCCTTTTAATTCCATGACACACAACAGCCATTCTGTTTGCTCCTTGGAGTCACAAGCAGGACAAATAAACAGAGCGCATACAAAGAGACTCCACTTAAATCTCTCTCAGCTGCTTGGTTGCTTGTAGTTCTCAGCCTCCCCAGCAGGGGCATTGTAGTTTATGAGGCATACTTCCTTCTTCTCAATCTCTTCAAACTCCGTCACAGAGATGTCCTGGGGGATCTTCTCCTCTGAGTTGCTGCGTCCAGACAGCTTGTCTGGGTGCTCCATGTCGTTGAAGCGTTCGGCCACACACTGTGCGGTCAGCCTGGCCTCGGGGTCGTGGTCCCAGCACTCGTCTATAGTGCCGCACACCACCTGGATGCCCTGAGGGAGGAGCACAGAGACTTACAGTCAGCAGTGGTACACAGATACTGGAGTAGGTAGAGAGAGAGGTTGGCCCTAATCAGATGATCCTATGAAAAAGATTGCTGTTGTAAAACATTTATAAAATGTGCAAGGAAATTATGCAATAATTCTTCTGAGCATGTGTGCATTATGCACCTGCAGTGTGTGTGTGTGTGTGTGTGTGTGTGTGTGTGTGTGTGTGTGTGTGTGTGTGTGTGTGTGTGTTTGTGTGTGTGTATATAGGCCTATGTGTGCGTAAGAATATAATGAAGGCAGGGCTTGTTACTTACTGGGTGGTTGATCCAGCTGCTGGGGATCTCTGGTCGTCCCCTGTCTCTGAGAACACTGTCCTTCATACTCTCCACACACGGGTGCTCCCTCACCTTACCGAAGGGGGGCTCGTAATCCTTTACCTCTGTTCACAAACACACACAGAGCCGAACATTTAAAACAGGAGCCAGAGAGATACAGAAGACAAAATATATGTTATAGGTTAATATAGTAATTATTTTGCACTATGGCCTATTTATTGCCTTACCTCCATAACTTACTACATTTGCATTCACTGTATATAGATTTTCTATTGTGTTATTGACTGTACGTTTTGTTTATTCCATATGTAACTCTGTGTCGTTGTTGTTTTTATCGCACTGCTTTGCTTTATCTTGGCCAGGTCGCAGTTGTAAATGAGAACTTTTTCTCAACTGGCTTACCTGGTTAAATAAAGGTTAAATAAAAAAATAGAACAAATACATTTTTTTGAAGAATCTCAAATATAAAATATATTTTGATTTGTTTAACACTTTTTTGGTTACTACATGATTTCATATGTGTTATTTCATAGTTTTGATGTCTTCACTATTATTCTACAATGTAGAAAATAGTAAAAATAAAGAAAAACCCTTGAATGAGTAGGTGTTCTAAAACTTTTGTCCGGTAGTGTATGTTTTAGGTTCATAGGATCAGGGGCCAGGGAAAACCTGCCTGAGAGAAACAGTCAATATTATTGCATTAGGTCTCAGTGAGAATGTGCTTGAAATAACTCACCAACTCAGCGTTGGCTCAGTGTCAGCTATCTTATAACGCAGCATCCAAGATGCTTGTTAAACCCCATGCAGAAATAATGTTTACTCAAGGCAGAATTTCAAAGAGTTGGCTTGGGATGATGCAGTCTGGAAACCTTGGTCAACGGTTTGCAGAGAATTATTTATCTTTACATTGATCTGATCTGTCCTTTGGGTAGAGCAACAAATCAAACTCAAGTTCACGTTGAAGAGCGGAGCTCTTGTATAAAAACATTTGTTTCAGAAAGGCCAAATGGGGTACCTAAAGTACTCTGACAAATTCTGTGTAAGAACCAAGGAGATTTCCGACGCCAAAAAAATTGTATGCCAGTAAGTCAATTATCCTCAATAGCTCCATATTGCAAAAACATTATTGTACAATAACATGGAATAGGCATGAGACAGAGCCAACTGAAAACAACAGGGTTATTCGGGGGCAATGGCACTGTGGCATTAAGAAATACATCCGCAATGAATTCCTGTACTGAAACTATTGTTTCACTTTTGCATTCGTTTAGTCCTGCCATCGTGAATAGAATGAAGACATGGAAATAGTATATGGATCATAATGAAAACCTTTACCATCTCACAACACAATCAATCAAAACAACGATGAGTTGACCTGTTAAGTAAGTGAAGTCAAAAGGCCCAGTGCAGTGAGAAATGTTATTTTCCTGTGTTTTATGTATATTTCCACACTATGAGGTTGGAATAACACAGGGAAATTGTGTAAGAGCTGCTTGAAAAGACTGCTTGAAATTTCAGCCTTTTGATGGGATGGAGTTTTGGCCAGCCAGTTTTGACATCACCAGGCGGTAAATGAGTTAATAGACCAATAAGAAAGAGAGTTCCAAATCTCTCCAATAACAGCAAATGTTCTGTTTTCCCCACCTCACTCAGATGACTCCCAGACAGTCCTAGCTAAATTCTTGCTTGAGAAATTGCTCTTTGCTAAGAAGCAATTTTTGTTTCTGTTTGACCATTTTAATTGAAAACAATCACAGTAAGGTATTTAATTGTTACCCAGAAATGATTTGATATTGAGATAAAAAATGCCTGCATTGGACCTTTAAAGCTGATCAGCTATTTCCCTGTACAGTACTGTAATACTGTCCAACTGAATTCCGGCTGACAGATGAGAAACGGGCAGTCCCTGCCCAGAAGAGAGGCCTCACAGCAAGTCCATATGCACACAGACAGGAATCGGATGCTAGGTCACGGCGTGAGCCAACAGCTGACTCTACAGGCATGAGCTTCCTGTTTTTGACAAGAAGATGTCCCTTATTTCAGTGTTTTAGCAAAAATACACCCACCCGCCCACTCATCTGTCATTATTCAAGTGAGTAAAGGAATAGTGGTTCTTCCTTTTTTTCTAGTGTCCCATGTAGCTCAGTTGGTAGAGCATGGCGCATGCAATGCCAGGGTAGAGGGTTTGATTCCCACGGGGGAGAAGTTTGAAAATGTATGCAATCACTACTGTAAGTTTGCTGGATAAGAGCATCTGCTAAATAACTAAAATGTAAATAGTTTCGGGGTAGTGTAATGGGAGCCAATTGCATTTTTTTTGGTGCAATTTTGTTTATCGTCTTATTCGAAAACAATAGCTCCCAAAATATGCCATATGAATTGCTGGTCTCCACACAAGCAGTGTTTGCTAAAAAGGAAGGAATGGTCAATATTGGTTTAAGAGAGAAACTGGTATTTTCAGGCCAACCAACCTAACATTAAATTCTGCAATGGATGAGACAACAACAAGACAGAGAATATAGCTAGTGGTTTGAGAAAAAAGGTTTAACACTGACTGGGTATATTACTGAGAACTGCTCATGCAAAGCAAGTGAGTTAAGTAAGGATGACCTGTTCAGTTAAGGTAAATTAATGACGTTATGAAGTATTTCTAAAGCACATATCACTTTCCTATTGACCCACATACCTGTTTTAGAACTGTTAATGAAGAAATCACCTTTTATGATAACTGATATATTGACACATTGAGATACATCATACATCAGAGAGGTGGTCCTTTTCACTCAGTGTGAGTTGTCATATGACATGAGAAAAGTCTGAAATGGTCTCAACAACAAAAAACTCTAGACCACCTTTACTCCACACAAAGAGACGCGTACAAAGCTCTTCCTCGCCCTCTATTTGGCAAATCTGACCATAATTATATCCTCCTAATTCCTGCTTACAAGCAAAAACAAAAGCAGGAAGTACCAGTGACTCGCTCAATACGGAAGTAGCACAGACTGGAATATGTAGCACAGACTGGCATTGAGGAGTACGCCACATCAGTCACTGGCTTCATCAATAAGTGCATCGATGAAGTTGTCCCCACAGTGACCATACGTACATATCCCAACCAGAAGCCATGGATTACAGGCAACATCTGCACTGAGCTAAAGGGTCGAGCTGCCGCTTTCAAGGAGCAGGACACTAATCCGGACGCTTATAAGAAATCCCGCTATGCCCTCCGACGAACCATCAAACAGGCAAAGCGTCAATACAGGACTAAGATTGAATCATACTACACCGGCTCTGACGCTCGTCAGAAGTGGCAGGGCTTGCAAACTATTACGGATTACAAAGGGAAGCCCAGCCGCGAGCTACCCAGTGACACGAGCCTACCAGACAAGCTAAATGACTTCTATGCACGCTTTGAGGCAAGCAACACTGAAGCATGCATGAGAGCACCAGCTGTTCCGGACGACTGTGTGATCACGCTCTCTGTAGCCGATGTGAGTAAGACCTTTAAACAGGTCAACATTCACAAGGCCGGATTACCAGGACGTGTACTCAGAGCATGCGCTGACCAACTGGTAAGTGTCTTCACTGACATTTTCAACCTGTCCCTGACCGAGTCTGTAATACCTACATGTTTCAAGCAGACCAACATAGTCCCTGTGCCCAAGAACGCCAAGGTAACCTGTCTAAATGACTACCGACCCGTAGCACTCACGTATGTAGCCATGAAGTGCTTTGAAAGGCTGGTCATGGCTCACATCAACACCATCATCCCAGAAACCCTAGACCCACTCCAATTCGCATACCGCCCCAACAGATCCACAGATGATGATCTCTATTGCACTCAACACTGCCCTTTCCCACCTGGACAAAAAGAACACCTACGTGAGAATGCTGTTCATTGACTACAGCTCAGCGTTCAACACCATTGTGCCCTCAAAGCTCATCACTAAGCTAAGGACCCTGGGACTAAACACCTCCCTCTACAACTGGATCCTGGAATTCATGACGGGCCGCCCCCCAGGTGTAAGGGTAGGTAACAACACATCTGCCACGCTGATCCTCAACACGGGGGCCCCTCAGGGGTGCGTACTTAGTCTCCTCCTGTATTCCCTGTTCACCCACGACTACGTGACCAAGCACGATTCCAACACCATCATTAAGTTTGCTGACGACACAACGGTGGTATGCCTGATCACCGTCAACGATGAGACAGCCTATAGGGAGGAGGTCAGAGACCTGGCAGTGTGGTGCCAGGACAACAATCTCTCCCTCAACGTGATCAAGAGAAAGGAGCTGTTGGTGGACTACAGGAAAAGGAGGGCCGAGCACGCCCCCATTCACATCGACAGGGCTGTAGTGGAGCGGGTTGCGAGCATCAAGTTCCTAAGGTGTCCACATCACCAACAAACTATCATGGTCCAAACACACCAAGACAGTCGTGAAGAGGGCACGACAACACCTGTTCCCCCTCAGGAGACTGAAAATATTTGGCATGGGTCTTCAGATCCTCAAGAAGTTATACAACTACACCATTGAGAGCATTCTGACTGGTTGCATCACTGCCTGGTATGGCAACTTCTCTGCATCCGACCGCAAGGCGCTACAGAGGGTAGTGCGTGTCAGAGGAAGGCCCTAAAAATGGTCAAAGACTCCAGCCACCCTAGTCATAGACTGTTCTCTCTGCTACTGCACGGCAAGCGTTACCGGAGTGCCAAGTCTAGGTCCAAAAGGCTCCTTAACAGCTTCTATCCCCCAGCCATAAGACTGGTGAATAGTTCATCTGTACCCCCGCACATTGACTCAGTACCGGTAACGCCTGTTTACAGCCTTGTTATCTTTATTTTATTGTGTTATTTTTTTAAACTTTAGTTTATTAAGTAAATATTTTCTAAACTCTTATTTTTCTTAACTGCAATGTTGGTTAAGTGCTTGTAAGTAAGCATTTCACGGTATTCGGCACATGTGACAAATACAATTTGATTTGATTTGAACAAGTGAATCAAAAAAAATTCTCAACATTTCCGCTCTGTAGTTCTCCATCGACTTCCTCTTGGTGGTTTGTAATGTTAACACAGTACATTTTTGGCAGCTCAGACATGTTTCCATAGGTTTAGACTACATGGCCAGCCTGTTGTCTTTTTTGGATCTCACCACCACACCGCCTCTCTCTCCCTCATGCTATTAACCATCAGGTCTCAGTCTGGTTTCCTGGTTCAAAGTCTGACCTGTTTAAGTTACAGTGCTGTTCAAACTGTACCCTGTGTTTGCGCAAGCATGCCACCACCTGAGTATATCTGAACCACTACGTGCCAGTTGACATTAAAGTTGAAATCAAAAACAAATCAAATTTTATTAGTCGCGTACACATATTTTGCACATGTTATCGCGGGTGTAGCGAAATGCTTATGTTTCTAGCTCCAACAGTGCAGTAACACCTAACAATACAATACGATAATGAAAAGGGGGAAAACATAATGACGAATGTAAACCCACAGACATACAGTACCCCTCATGCACATAGGAATGTGTTATTCTCTGTCTTCATCATACAGTACTTTGTATTGGTTCTTTTCTAGTACACTATCTACAGTATAGTAGTATAATAATTCAAGAAAACAGATCCTCATAGAGCTAACAAAAGTCTGCTTCTGATCCGAAGCCAAAAAAGTAACAGGAATCTGTAGTCTTGACAAGAGTCACAGCTTGACACTCTCTCCCTCCATCTTGGAGAACGATACACTTTTTTATTCTACTCCTCTCCTCTGATGGTTTTGATTAAGCTGAGAGTTTGTGGCGATGGCTCTGACCTTGTTTTATATTCCTCACAGGTTGTTAAAGCCCTGGGTGACAGACAGACAGCCAGACAGACAGGCTGCAAACTAGCCAGGAAGCCAGACACAGACAGCCATCCAGACAGCCAGCCAGACAGGAAGACATACCCTTACGAAAGAAACACATTAATTTCATGTGAACACATGTAGTGTTCCAAAATCACATGTTTTCATGTGATCACGTGATCTTATGTGAAACTAATGTGGTAACATGTAAAGCAACATGGGATAACATGAAACTACACGTGAAAACTTGTGATCACATGTGAAGTGTTACAAAAACATGTGAAATTTCATGTGAAATCATGTGATTTTCCACATGTGAAATCATGTGGTTTTTCTGTAAGGGTACAGACAGACAGAAAAGACAGACAGACAGCTTGCCAAACAGCTTGCCAGACAGCTAGCCAGACAGCTTGCCAGACAGCTTGTCAGACAGCTAGCCATACAGACAAACAGACAAGACAGACAGCATGGGGCCCATTCAGGCTTGAGGTGAGGCCATGACATCTGGATAGCAGCTGCCTTCCTCCACTATACCCTAACCCTGTCTTCTCCCTCAGGGGAGTGAAGGAATTTCTCCTACAGTGGGACGGTCAACACCACTGTTCTCCCATTCCTCTCTAAACCCGCCATGGAACGCCCTCCCGTCTTTCCCGCCCCTAATTCCAGCCGTGCAAATTATATGGGAAAGACATTTCGGGAAAAGAGACGGCCCCGGGACGATGTATTTATTACTTTCTCCCACAGTTGTTTCTTTTTACTTGTCCTTATTTTTACTTAGAGGATAAAGTGTGCATTGTGATGGCTGCTGCTGCTTTCTCTGAGGTCGCGACTGACCCTGTTGACAGACAGGCGCGTTCGTACCATGTGACAGATCCCAGATCATACGAAAGGCCCCGAAACTGTGACAAAGTGGCTATGAACTGACTGACTGCCTGTGTTATGTGGCGGTCTGCCAGGCAAGGCAGCGAGACAACGGGAGCTGTTCTGACATCTGTCTGCTGAGGCACTGTGGCAGGTGGCGGCTGAGACAGACAGACAAACAGACAGACAGGGAAGCCTTGGCGGCTTCACCTACCCACTCATTATAATGATGCACTGAGATGTGTCAGTCTGTGTTTGGGGAAGAGGGAAGAGTGTGTGTTTTCTAATTTGAGAGGAGTTTTATGCCATCAATATTGACTCACCGAGCTGGGATGATAGCATGGGAAGTGGTAAAAATGCATGTACTGTAGTTATGTGAGTGCCAGTTTCACTGACATAGATAGTAGCATTTGTTGAGTTAGTCATTCTAACTCTACAAACATTTTACCCCCAAGGGAATATCCAAACAAACTGTCAGCGCAGCAACGTTATTACACAAAATAAGGCAGCTTCTTGCTGTACCAAGGTGGGAGAATAGGTCAATTCCAACAGCGATTTAACTTTTCAATATGGGAAAGTCTCCTTGGGCCTTCCTAACGCACTAGACATTTCACCCCTCCACTGTTATCGGAACAGATGCCAGTCTATGGGAAGACGAGTGGTACTGCCTGGGAGAGACCAGACTAAACCAAAACATGGATTATCCCAGCTGCTTCTCTCCTCACCGGTCCTATTCCCATCCAGGAGTAGGAAGGCGCCCCGCTTCCCCTCTCCCGTAAATCCATGCTATCCTGGCCTCTCACCACTGTCTGTCTACAGTGCCAGCGGGAATAGTCGTGGATGGTGGATGAACGTAATGTCATGACGTGGGGGAAGAGTAAATTATTACTGTAGAGTATAGGCCTCAGCACAAGAGACTGCTGAGAGAGAGAGAGGAAGGGAGAGAGGGAGACAGACAGAGAGCGAGCGAGAGGGTGATAAAGAGAGAGAGAGACAAACAGACAGACAGAGAGAGAGAGAGAGAGAGAGAGAGAGAGAGAGAGAGACAAACAGACAGACTGAGTGAGTGAGTGAGTGAGTGAGTGAGTGAGTGAGTGAGTGAGTGAGTGACGAGGAGAGAGAAAGCAAGAGAGAGGGGAAATTAACTATTTTCATTTCAGAGGTGTACCCAATGGGCACACATATAGTATTCTTCACCCCCTGCCGATGGAGGAAAAAGTGAGAGGGTCTAACAGGCTGATCATTTGGCCATTTTTCCTTCAAAGGGCTCTGTGGCAGCGCTACCGAGGTGACAGCGTTTAAGGGGCCACTAGTTACCAAAGGGAAAACAGGAAATGGCCGCGCTGGAAGCAGGCGAGCACCAACACTAACATTCAATCAACGTTCTGACACAATGGTCAAACAGGATCACCCACAAGACAAAATGGACCACAGAGACACAGAGAGAAGTGAAAAATAAATTCCTCCCTGTCACATAAAATATGGCCCTGTGGCTTGCCGTAGGATGCCCATTGGATAATCACCCATTTGTATTATTTGCCCATATCCTGGCCTTGTTGTTCAGAGAGATGACAAACAGGAAGAATGGTACATTAGTGAAGGGAAGGCTGTTGTTCTTTGAGAATTGTGTTTTTGACACGTTTTGGTTTCTCTGAAATGGTTCCCACACCACAGTAAGTAATGGAGATGTGAGACACTGGCTGTGTGAAAGTGCACACTTCGGGAGAAAGGTGGAAAATCGAGACTCACCCCCTTTATTCCCATATGCATAATAGGTGGCCAATACACTATAAACACCTTAAAGCGGTACTACCTACCCCTGTTTCAGTAAAAAGCTGAGGGATGGGACTGGAGAAATGTAACCACTCCCAAATTCATAGAAAGAGCTATAGATGCAAGGACTGACTATCCATGATATCATAATTATGGTTGTAACCATGTTTTTAGGCTATATAGTGTTTGTTTACATTTACTTTGTTTACAAACAAGCTTAAGGGAACCTTTACAGAGAAGTACACCTATCCCTCTATATCACTTACACAAGGTCACTACTTAAAATCAAAATATTGCTCTCCTGCCTGTAAATTCGCTACTGTCTAATGCAGCACAGTCACGTGATTGGTCAGAATTAATGTGGTGTTACTTTACCTCCAATGGCATTGCACCTGGAGGTGATCTCCCACAGTACCAGGGCCATTGAGTAGACGTCTGTCTGCTTGAACGACTCAATGTTCTCCAGGTTGATCCTGGACTCCAGCACCTCAGGGGCCATGTACCTGGCAGTGCCCACCTGTAGAGTGAGACCAACAAGGACAAGATTATCATTATCAAAACTGTTCTATTCTATTCTGTTATTTTCTATTCTGTTCTATTCTGTTTTATTCTGTTCTATTGTATTGTATTGTATTCTGTTCTATTCTACTCCATTCTAATGCTATTGATAGTAGAACATGCATGAATGCTTCCAGTACCATGTAACAGTACAATTCAACTGCAGTTTTAACTGACAGCCTGGGCTGTTTGTCTAATTCCTGTAATAAAACAAAAGGCCTAGCAGCACTTGCTCTATGGATATCATTCATCTGTTGTCCAGAAGAGGAGCTCGTAAAAGAAAGTGAGCCAGACACTAGTGTGTTTGAAATGGCACCCTATTCCCAAAATAGTGCACTACTTTTCACCAGGGCCCTATGAGCATTGGTCAAATAAAATGGCACCCTATTCCTACATAGTGCCCTAATCATAGAGAATATGGTACCATTTTGGATGCAGCCTAAGTAGAAAGGAGAGACAGGAGTGAATAATCTGTACCTGTCCACTGTTGGCCAGCTCGTCCACAGACAGCGAGTTGTCCAGACGCAGACCCAGGCCGAAGTCACACAGGACGCAAGTGAGGTCCCCCTTCACCAGGATGTTGGAGCTCTTGATGTCCCGGTGGACGATGGGCACCTTGTAGCGTCCGCACAGCGTGTGGTCACTGTGCAGGTGGGCCACGCCCCTCGCCAGAGACCCGCCCAGCACCCACAGGTCGTCCCAGCTGATGACGTGGCGCGTCAGGTACTCCTGGAGGTTGCCCCGGGGGTGGTAGGCCGTGATCAGCCAATACTGTTTCTCCACCTTACGTTCCTCCGCGGTCAGGAAGTGCAGGACGTTCTCGTGGCGCAGGTCGGCGTCCGAGAAGATGTCCTTCTCGTTCTTCCACGAGGCATACTCTTCATCTGCAAAAATCTTGACGGCGACGGTCTCGAAAGGCTCGCCGGCCCCCGTGGCGCCCTGCTTCAGCTTGGCCTTGTAGACCTCTGCGAAGCGGCCCTTGCCCACCTGGGCGTCCAGCTTGATGGGGAGGAGCTCCGTATTGTGGTTGAGGTTGTTGGCGTGCGTGGAGCTGCTGTCCGAGCCGTCGTCGTCCATCATGATGGCGCGGTTGACGCTGAAGTCAAGAGGTGTCTTCTTGCGCTTGGCGCCGGCGCGCCGCTGGTGGTAGATGCGGTACCAATAGAAGGATGTGATGACCAGGACGGCCAGAACCAGCAGAGGAACCAGGCTGACCAGGATCACCGACACCACCTGGGAGTCAAGAGAGTCTGGGGTGGAGAGGAAAGACAAGAGAGAAAAAGAGAGACAAGGTAGATGTTATAGATTAGTTATACAATACCTTGCATACTTGGTAAAAATATTGTAGAATATACACTACCGGTCAAAGTTTTAGAACACCTACTCATTCAAGGGTTTTTCTTTATTTTTACTATTTTCTACATTGTAGAATAATAGTGAAGACATCAAAACTATGAAATAACACATATGGAATCATGTAGTAACCAGAAAAGTTTTAAACAAATCAAAATATATTTTATATTCGAGATTCTTCAAATAGCCACCCTTTGCCTTGATGACAGCTTTGCATACTCTTGGCATTCTCTCAACCAGCTTCATGAGGTAGTCACCTGGAATGCATTTCAATTAACAGGTGTGCCTTCTTAAAAGTTAATTTGTGACAAGGTAGGGGGGGTATACAGAAGATAGCCCTATTTGGTAAAAGACCAAGTCCATATTATGGCAAGAACAAATATATTTTCATTTGTTTAACACTTTTTGGATACTACATGATTCCATATGTGTTATTTCATAGTTTTGATGTCTTCACTATTATTCTACAATGTAGAAAATAGTAAAAATAAAGAAAAACCCTTGAATGAGTAGATGTTCTAAAACTTTTGACCAGTAGTGTACCTATTCTGTACCATAGATTAGACCTGCCCCCCAGTTAGGTATATTCTACAATACTTATACAATTATACACCTCTACAATATTAGAACTCCTCAGTTCTCATACTCTACTCTAAAACTTGAGTATATTTTCACAATAGCCTTTTCACTCGCTATGAGTAGCTGGACCGACCACAAGGGTCACACTGCATAGAAAACAATGACCACAAAGGACTAAGTGGGATACATGACGAGTGCAGTAGCTTATACTTTGACATTTGACATTTCAGTTGTGCTTGAATGTCATACATACTATACAGTACATTACATTCCAACTCCTTCTGCACTAGGAAATCAATAGGAAGTAGCCAAGTAGCTATATTGTCTCAGAGCATCTTGCTATGCGCAACGTACCCTGCTCTTTTCCAGTAAAGCAGAGGAACCTCACACTTCCATGAGGAATGTCAATAAGCATCTGAAAGCTACGAAGCTGAAGTTAGCTTGTTGGCCTGTTAAACACACCAAGGCTGAACCATGCCCCAGTCAACCACATATTGTGTTTCCTTTATAGACCTAGTCTATGTCTGATTCTTATGCTCTTAAGGAGTGATGTCTGTGTCTGCTAGTCCGAGTAATCTGGGGAAGGTTTATGCATATGCTATGTTTACAATCCTATTTCTGGGGATGGCAGAAGTCTCGTAAAAACATAATAAAACACAACATGTCACGCAAAATCCCAGATCCCAGATCAGTTAGGATTTGAAGGGTTGTAAATGAGTCATTAACATGCTGTCTGAACAGGCAGACTATGACTGCTGGGGTGGCTGCTGGTGTTCTATAAATACAGACAGAGATACTGTATTAGGAACATGTTTGGCAGTGGAGGATTGTGTGTGTGTGCCTGCATGTGTGTCTGCGTACGTGCATGCATTTGTGTGTGTGTGTGTGTGTGTGCGTGTTTGTGTATTTGTGTGTCTATGAACGTGTGTGTGCATACAATACAGAAAGTGCCCGTCAAGCGCTTACTCGCTCGCTCCTTTTTTTCAGTCAGGAAACCACGTCTGAAATCTTCAACGTGCCCTCAGTGGAGTTTGTTTTTGTTTTCGCAGAGTGAGAGAGAGAAGCGATCCGTCATAACAAACCTGTCCCTGTGGCTCTGCCATCTCTCAGTGAATATGGCCCACAGAGGAAAGTTTTGTAGTTCCTACCCCCCCTTGGGGCCGGGTTCAAGAACATTGTATTAAACACGCATACGCTGTTTTCACCTTTTATTTCTGTTTGTTACGTACATAATGCTTCAAGTGAGTAGTGTTGTCATATGTTATGTGGTGAGCATGAAGTTAGATGGTGTACAGCGGAGCTATCCATCCTCCACGGTGAGGTGAAATGTTTTTCCATGACGTCGTTGTTCGCGATGTGCAGATGCTTTCAATTTTGGGCTCTGGAAAGCCAGTTCTTGAAAATGTACCTCTGTGTTATTACTGCTTGGATGCTGTAGTCAAAATACATTTGATTCCAGGGCCAAGATTAGAATGAGAGACTACAGCCAAAATGCCTCCGCAATGCAAAACCTGTTTGCAATCTTGTATATGGAGGGTGTATAACAGTACACACATGTTAGCGTCTTACTTGACAACCTAATAAGGAATTGCTTAAGCGTTCATTACTTTTGAGTTACGTCAAAAGTGTTAGTAAACTATATCATCAATTGTAATGCCTAGCCTACATAACACAATCTTAGCGATTATATAACTGGTGACATAGGGACTCACAGAAGGTGAAGAAGACATGGTCATTGCACTTGTATGACCAATAATAATGCCTACAAAAGACTATCTTCAGCATGACATAACAGGTGGCATAGCAATACATAGGGACTTACAGGGGGTGAAGAACACGTGGTTGTTGCACTCGTCCTCGGAGCAGGAGCAGATGAAGAACTGGGAGCCCATGCCATTCCTCTCCCTCATCTCACACTTGCTGTTGTTATAGTCCTCCAGCATCAGACCATGCAGCTTATGGGCTGGGTTGTGGCATATCGTGTCTATGGTGACATTGTCATCTTTCATCCTCCTAGAAACAAGAAAACAGGAGCCATTAGTTCCACTCCAATTCAGTTTTATGAAACAGATCGAAAATGTAAGCTACAGTAATAAAAGGGAAAATAACTTGACAAATTAACAAATTGTAGTCTAAGCATTATCGTAATGATTTGATACAGAGGTCAGGTTAGGTTGTACTGAATATATCCCCCAGTTACAAAATACTACCGTACATGTGCAGTGAATAATCCTGAAGGTGCACAAATGGACCTACAAATGGGCACTCAGGTCTCCTGCTGGTGGTGTGGAGATTATGTAGTGAAACCCATTTTAAGAGGTGTTGCTGTGAACATGGCATTAGGAGTTCTGCTGACTTCAGCTCCTACTGCTGTAAATGTAATGAGAAACAGTGGCATTGCCTTCAGCTTTGAACAGGAGACCAAATCTAGTTCTCCACTTTTTTAACATTCAAATTTCGCAACTATATTTGGTTGGGTTAGTGGGTGGGGCACTCTTGGGTTTGGCTACTTAGCTAAACCTTGTTGACGGCAAATTTAGTTTTTAAACGACAAATCAACCAAGCAAGATTATTAATTTCTGCTCTGTCACTCACTAACATGGTCGTAGTGTGTCACTGTCCCCACTGCCCAGCATGCTCTCCTAAGGTCAAGTTTAAAGGTCATTCCAACTCCCAATGAGAGATGATGAGGGGTACTGTAGTCACTCACCAGATGCTGACACACACGTCATCTGGATGGGGGCAGATGGATGTGATCCTACAGTCGGTCATACAGCTCTCTGTGCCCGTACAGCTGGTAGATTCCACGTCACAGAACTTACACAGACGCCTCAGCTTCAGCATGCTCAGTGACGAGACCCCTGGGGCGGAGACACAAAGAGATAGGGGATTGATAGTTTACAAAGGGATATGGTTATTTGAGGCAGTCAATAGTTAGTTAGTTTAGGTTACTCATGTGTCATCAAATACGTTCACTCTTTACTGCAGCACTTTACTTCACGCCAGCAGCATACTAGCCTACATGCCACTGCTGGATTGCCTCTGAAGGTAAGCAGGGTTGGTCCTGGTCAGTCCCTGGATGGGAGAACAGATGCTGCTGGAAGTGGTGTTGGAGGGCCAGTAGGAGGCACTCTTTCCTCTGGTCTAAAAAAAATGCCCCAGGGCAGTGATTGGGGACATTGCCCTGTGTAGGGAGCCATCTTTTGGATGGGACGTTAAACGGGTGTCCTGACTTTCTGTGTTCACTAAAGATCCTATGGCACTTACTGTAAGAGTAAGAGTAGGAGTGTTACCTCTGGTGTCCTGGCTAAATTACCATTCTGGCCCTCATACCATCATGGCCACCTAATCATCCCCAGCTTCCAATTGGCTCATTCATCTCCTCTCCCCTGTAACTATTCACCAGGTCGTTGCTGTAAATGAGAATGTGTTCTCAGTCAACTTACCTGGTAAAATAAGGGTTAAAAATAAGAAAAAAAAGTATCTATTACAAATGGGTACAGTTCACTCTGAGGGTCTAAAACACAAGATAAGAACTTTGACCGGGATTTAATTTGATCGCGGTAAATGCTGCAGATGTTGGCTCAATTACCTTTAAATGTCAAGCGCGCTATAGCACAGTTTTGGATTGAACCCCGGCCGTTGTTTGCTTTCATATGAGCCTAAACTGTACTAACCCAACGAAGATGATAACTTTGCTCGACTTGGGAAACTGACATTTCCCTCCAATTACACTGACAAACAAAAGGCTACAAACACCAGAAAGGTGAACTTTCTCATCTAATATATTACATATTAACATGGACATCTCCTACACTGTAAGAGTTTGGTCTGTTGAACATCAGTGAGTACAGTGAAACATTAACCTCATATCTCAGTCCAGACTATGTGAAGGAATGTATCATTACTGAGAGACTTGACAATTTCACTTTGGAAATAATATGTGAAACAGACAAAAATGATGTTCCTTTCGGTACTATGTAGCTAAGTATAATTATTCCAAGAGACAGTTTTCAAAGTAACTGATACATTTGTATTCCTGTGTTCTTCCCCAATTCATTCTCTAATCCATTAATTACAATGTTACATGTACATTAATTTTTCAACCATATGTAAACTATTTCCCTAGAGCCTAAATTCTACTGTGAACAATCAGCACATTCTGCAGTGCCATCCATCTACTATGGTCGTGTTAAGACTTGACTTCACACGGGCAGTCAGTGGTGTGTTGTGTGCCTGTTTGTGTTTGATAGTCATCTCTACTGAGACAACCACTAGACAAGACATAAAAACAAACAAAGGGAACATTGAACATCAGTATATCTTTCAGTCGTGTAGTCTTTAATTTGGGAATTTGATTAGTTGGTGTCTTGCCAATTCACTTTGTGAATATCAAAAAGCAGTAGATAATGTTGGAGCGTGTATTTGTTTGTTTGTGTGTGTGTGAGAGAGAGAGAGAGAGAGAGAGAGAGAGAGAGAGAGAGAGAGAGAGAGAGAGAGAGAGAGAGAGAGAGAGAGAGAGAGAGAGAGAGAGAGAGAGAGAGAGAGAGAGAGAGAGAGAGAGAGAGAATAAATAAGTGTTTGTGCGTGTGCAACACCCAAATAAATTCTACTGGTTATCTGGCTGTCCTTGCACTGCGTGTGCTGCTCCTGATAAACATTAGACTGCATGCTGCTGTTTGGCTGAAGTAAGAGCATACAAATCCCAGACACATGGCAACTCCTCCAATCCCAATTACTATGAAGGAATGCTGTTTTCACTACAATCACCACAGTAAAGTATGTGGGAACAGGGATCTTTTGGCTGCGAGATGGGGAGAGGACATCTCTATCTCCCTTGACTTTATCTATCAGCACTGGTCTGTACCACTGGGAAAATATGCAAGCATTATCCAGCCCCAAACCCCACATGGGTCGTTTTATCATTTGAAGACTTGGTCCAACTTTACACACTAGCTGCGTCTGAAATGGCATCCTATTCACTATATAGTACACTACTTTTGACCAGGGCCCACAGGGTTCTGGTCTAAAGTAGTGCACAATAAAGGGTATACAGGGTGCCATTTCAGACGCAGCTAGTGTTTCTTTAGTGAATAGCCATTCTGTATCATTGGTGAGAGGAACATTGTCCCTAAGAGCAAAAATGTGTACTATTGCTGGGTTTGCCCACCTGTTACAAAAGCTAATCATAATTTAGAGAGTTATGCTGTTGGAGGGTGCCAGTGAACTGTCGATTACCTTAATAATTGCCGCAATAACACGTAGACAGCACATTTCGAACACTAAATAAAGTTAAACTATAACCCCAAAACAGTCCACTTTGGTTAGCCTGTAAGGCTAAGGTAGAATGGATCAAACAATCTTCAGGCCTTTCTCACTGAGGGGTTGGAAAGAGAGAGCAAGAGAGAAAGAAAATGCAAGAAAGAGAAAGAAATTGAGAGATTTTGCACCCTAGAGAGCACCGCCACATATCTCCCTTCTTTTCCATTTGCTCTCCTTCCAGACCTTTATGGCATGTCTTTAGCGTTAATAAAAACAGAAACTGACCGAAATCAGACGCTCCTAATTGCTAAAACAAAGATTAAGTGAAATTAAGTCAAAAGAGATGGAGGAGGGCGAGATCTTACACACTGAATGATGTCACTGCCACATACCCACACTAAGTCTAACAGACTGCACACATAGGAAGAGAAAGTTCAACCTGTTACTTGCATCAGCAGTGTCCTCGTGACACAACCAATAGTGAAAGTGGGTTATTGGCAGTTAACTGGGCCTGTCTGCATGTGCAGCTCGAGGATTTCCTCATAGGCTCTGGTCAAAAGTAGTTTACTATATAGAGAATAGGGCGCCATTTGGGACGCAACCTGGGTCTCCGCTGTATTGGACCAGCTGGCAGGGGTGCGAACCTGATAGAGCCACTTTGTCAGGTCATGTGACCATCCATGTCAAAATAATCACCCCTCTCTCTAATGTCGGTACAGGAGAGAGAGCAAATAAGGTTCTCTTCCCTCCAATGTCCTCACAGTGCAGTAGTATACTGTATCTCTCTATGTTAGAGAATATGAAGGTTACTGACTTAGGAGATAATGTTATACTTCTGCACCAGGACAAAAAGCCTACTGTAGCTGCCTGTTCACAACCTGCAAGGTGGAGTAGAGCTGCAGCTTGAAGCAACAGAAATACAACCTGCAAGTCTGAAAACCAGAGTAACTGGAGCAGATCTAGAGAAGCCACATCCACTGCAGGTGGCAGCATTCACACAGCAGTATAGACAGTGAAGTATCCATGGTATTAGGCTATATTCTGTTATTCCTGTTTCTAGGGTGTACTGTACATGTCTGAGTTGCTTAAACAAACCAATAAAGACATTCATATAAAGTACTGCAGAGGTGTACAATTTAGAATTTGGCCTGAGGTGAAGTTTGTAGTCTGTTATAGAGTTATAACAGAACAGCTAAGAATTATCTCGGGCTGAGTGCTGGTAGTTGTGGAGTGAAAAGTAATTATATCATTAGAAAAACTCCTCTCAAAGTGTATGTAATTTAAGCCCAAGGAGGCGGGCTATGGTGGGGATGAATGCTGTTAATTGTCACCCAGGGCAAAATATAATTGCAGATGTGGGGGAGAGAGGATTATAAGAAGTCAACGGTGTTTGGTGCCATTGGGACTGGGTTGGAGTTGGAGACAAGGGCAAATAGATTACAATTTATGATGTGTCTACCTTGCAAATGATAGACCAAATATAATTCCCACTTCCAGTGTCAACAATGTACATCAGAATGAAAAGTCCCATTAGTAGGACCACCATGCAGGTTTTCTATCGCAACAGGTGATGTAGCTAAACCTCCTCCCACTGTGTTAAGCAGCCACTTTAATTCACAACATGGGCCTACTTCCCATTTACAGAAACATCATGGCACACACTCAAATTATTTTCTGATGTGATTTCCTCTTGGAAAATACTAGCGCCCACTTGAAGTATTGAAAATAGTTAGAAATTATGCTCATACATTCATTCCATCCCCACTTTAGTAAAAAAGTATGATTTGGGTATAAATGTACCACAGTTCCTGAGTTCCTGATATTGAACAACACTGACTGCGTAATTTGCATACATTAAATACTATGCATACAAATTCGCAGTAACACCAGCCAGTCAATATATTTGCGAGGTTTAGCTGAAATGAGATGAACATTTTGCCTTCCACCAAAATGTAGAGTTTTAAAGCTAGATTACGTTTGACCACCTGCTACAAAAATTGAATGGCAATTTAGAAGTTATAATTTGGGGAAACAGAAACAAGTGTCAACGTTACTAGCGGTCAATAACCTCATAAATGTTTCAATAATTACTTTAATACCTTGATAACACTATAGCCAACCACCAACATTCATAGGCTACTTGAAATAAAGTTTTAACTCACCCTTCTGTTCTAGCAGAATACTACCAAAGAGTATCGTTCCACACCAGAAAGCAGAAAACCGAAGAAGCTCCATTTAGAAACGGACTATAAACTCCTCTTCTTTTCATTTACTTAAGCCTTGATTATAGTAAATATCCAGACTTTAATTCGAGACGTTCTTCTGATTTTTTTTCGGTTCGCCTGTTGCTCTCCTGCGTCTCAAGCAACCCCCAGTTAAAGTAAATAGTGCAGGCAGAACTTGCATACATACTGAGTCGGACAGTATGTATGCACTTTTCATGAAACAGGAAATCTTCAGAAAGGGCAGGACAGTTTTTTTTCTTTAGGCTACTTCTGAACTGCTGGACTTGTGGCTCACTGGTCTTGAAACATGTTATTATGAGCACAGAACAAGGCAAAACTTGAAATGACACGCTCCAAAATAGATGGCAATGATTTCGAAAGAAGTGAGGAGAAGTATACATCCAAACAAAACATGAACTTAACACTTCTCTACTTACAATTATGCAACAATTTCAGTCATTTTTTACATTTTTATACACTTCACTGTGTCATTTACCATAACACACAAATTATTGATCAGACAACATTCAACTGTGTCTGATGTCCACAAACATAAGAACAAATTACATAACTCCTTTACTTGTTCATTAGACATCTGATACATTGTCCCCCTCCTGCATATCTCTTTTCCTGAGGAAAGCTATCATTCATCAGAGGGGGGGCAGTAGAGGTGGTGAGTGCTCCTTGTTCCTTGGTGTTGGTTTGATGGGTGGTACTCAGGGGTTAAGTCCACTGTAACACCAATAAATTACTGCTATATTGCTGGGCTGCCAGCATATGTTTTCACTTTGCATACTCAAACCATGATGTCAGACTTCAAACCCATGGGCGCAACTTTCACTGGGGACGGGGGGACATAACCCCCCCACATTCTGAAATTGCATTTTTGTCTTCCCCCCCAGTTTTATCATTGCACTGTGATACAAAAAGCGGCACAGGTGTGCTTTAGGACCTTTAGGCCTCAGAGGGGTTGGTTAGGCTGTTTGGTGGTTTTAGGACCGCATGGACACCACAAAGCGTACGAATAGAGGCAGCTGTTGTCTGTGTGTGTTGTGCTTTTTCTCTGAGTTGTTGTCACGGATTCTGCCGAGACTGCCCTTCCTTCTGGTTCGGGCAGGCTTCGGCATTCGTCGTCACCGGAATACTAGCTGCTGCCGATCTATTTTTTATGTTTCTATGTTCATCTGGTTGTTGTCTAGTGTTGCACACCTGTTTCCCATTATGTATTATGTCCTTCCCTATTTAACCTGTTCGCTCCCACTGTGTGTTGTGCGTGTTTGTTACTTGTTACGAGTGTCGTTTTTTTTTTTCTCCTCCCTGTGTTGGAGGTTTTTGCTTGTTTCTTTACTATACAGTAAAGTCGATTTTCATTTCATTCTGTGTCCTGCGCTTGACTCTGGCCTACCGCATTCCACAGACATTCATGACAGAAACACTCACCTCTATGGCGTCAGCAGGAACAGCCGGATTAACCGAGACGATGGAGGAACGAGTCAAACGACAAGAGATGATGATTCAGACTCTCTGTGTCACCATGGAACGAGTGTTCCAGATGATGGAACGATGGGAGAGAGGTGGTATCCCGTCACCATCTCCAACCACTCAACCACCTACAACACTGGTCACCACTCCGCCACCTGGGTCCAGTGGGATTCGGCTCTCGCTCCCGAGGGCATATGACGGTACACCTGCCGGGTGCCAGGGATTTCTCCTCCAGGTAGAGCTCTACCTGGCCATCATTCACCCGGCGCTCTCGGGATACGAGAGCATGTCCACCCTCCTCTCCTGTCTATCGGGGAAGGCGCTTGAATGGGCTAACGCAGAGTGGGGAGGAATAGACTCGAGAACTGTCCGCTACGAGGATTTCACCCGCCGCTTCCGGGCGGTATTCGATCATCCACCAGAGGGGAGAGCGACGGGTGAACGTCTGTTCCACCTACGACAGGAGATGAGGAGCGCGCATGAGTTTGTGCTGGAGTTTAGAACTTTAGCAGCCAGCACGGGATGGAATGAGAGGGCCCTGATCGACCATTATCGTTGCAGCTTAAGGGAGGACGTCCGTCGGGAGCTGGCCTGCAGGGACACCGATCTCAACCTGGACCAACTGGTGGACATGTCCATCAGGTTGGATAACCTGTTGGCAGCCCGCGGACGTTCTGATCGGGGGCTGTCCATTCCATCCCCCAGCACCTCCGAGCCTACCCCCATGGAGCTCGGAGGTGCTGCGGTTAGGGAGACGGGGAGAGGGACCGTCCCCTGCACCAACTGTGGCTGCAGAGGACACACTGCTGGTCGGTGCTGGGGAGGGTCCTCAGGAGGTCGAGGCAACAGGCAGGGCACTGGTCGACCGTCTCAGGTGAGTAGGCACCCGACTCACCCAGAGCCCACTGTTGCTAATCTTTGTATTGATATTGTTTTTCCAGAGTTTTCCCCCCATTCCCAGCATAAGGCGCTAGTAGATTCAGGCGTGGCTGGGAATTTTATTGATCGCCAGTATGCTCGTAGTTTAGGGATCCCTACTGTGTCTGTTGATAAACCTTTCCCTGTGCATGCATTAGATAGTCGCCCGTTAGGGTCAGGCATAATCAGGGAGGTCACCACTCCACTTCTGATGAGGACGCAGGGGGGTCATGAGGAGAGGATTAGCCTCTATCTGATTGATTCTCCTGCGTATCCTGTGGTGTTGGGACTTCCCTGGTTAACCATTCATGAACCCACGATTTCATGGCAACAGAGGGCTCTCAAGGAATGGTCCGGTCAGTGTTCAGGGAGGTGTGTAGGAGTTTCCTTGGGGGCAACTATGGTGGAAAGTCCAAACCAGGTTTCCACTATGGACATTCCTGCCGAGTATGCCGATTTGGCTATCGCCTTCAGTAAAAAGAGGGCGACTAAATTACCACCCCATCGTCTGGGGGGATTGCGCGATAAATCTCCAGGTAGGAGCTGCACTTCCCCGGAGTCACGTGTATCCTTTGTCTCAGGAGGAGAGGGCGGCTATGGAGACATATGTCACCGAATCTCTGAGACAGGGATACATTCGGCCATCCACTTCACCTGTCTCCTCGAGTTTCTTTTTTGTGAAGAAGAAAGATGGTGGGTTACGCCCGTGCATTGATTACCGTGGCTTAAATCAGATTACCATCAAGTACAGCTATCCATTACCCCTGATAGCTAGTATGACGGAATCATTGCACGGGGCACGCTTCTTCACAAAATTGGATCTCAGGAGCGCGTACAACCTAGTGCGTATCCGGGAGGGAGATGAGTGGAAGACGGCATTTAGTACCACCTCTGGACATTATGAGTATCTTGTCATGCCATACGTGGTCCTCTGTAGCTCAGCTGGTAGAGCACGGCGCTTGTAACGCCAAGGTAGTGGGTTCGATCCCCGGGACCACCCATACACAAAAATGTATGCACGCATGACTGTAAGTCGCTTTGGATAAAAGCGTCTGCTAAATGGCATATTATTATTATTATTATTATACGGGTTAATGAATGCTCCATCAGTTTTCCAATCATTTGTGGATTAGATGTTCAGGGACCTGCACGGACAAGGGGTAGTGGTGTATATTGATGACATCCTTATATACTCCACTACAAGGGCCGAGCATGTGTCCCTGGTGCGTAAAGTGCTTGGAAGACTGTTGGAGCATGACCTGTATGCTAAGGCAGAGAAATGCCTGTTCTTTCAGGAGTCCATCTCCTTCCTAGGGTACCACATGTCCACGTCTGAGGTGAGGATGGAGAGTGACCGCATTTCGGCCATGCGTAATTGGCCGACTCCAACCACGGTGAAGGAGGTGCAGCGATTCTTGTGGTTTGCCAACTACTACCAGAGGTTTATCTGGGGCTTTGGTCAGGTAGCGGCTCCCATTACCTTGTTGCTGAAGGGGGGACCGGTGCGTCTGTGGTGGTCAGCTGAGGCGGACAGGGCTTTTAGTCACCTGAAGGACCTGTTTACCTCGGCTCCAGTGCTGGCTCATCCGGATCCCTCCTTGGCCTTCACGGTTGAGGTGGAAGCGTCTGAGGCTGGGATAGGCACTGTACTTTCTCAGCGCACGGGCACGCCACCCAAGCTCCGCCCCTGTGCTTTATTTTCGAAGAAGCTCAGCCCAGCGGAGCGCAACTATGATGTGGGGGACCGGGAGCTGTTGGCTGTGGTCAAAGCCCTGAAAGCGTGGAGACATTGGCTTGAGGGGGCTAAACACCCTTTTCTCATTTTGACTGACCACCGCAATCTGGAGTACATCCGAGCGGCGAAGAGGTTAAACCCTCGCCAGGCAAGGTGGTCCATGTTTCTAACCCGTTTTGTTTTCACCCTTTCTTGCAGGCCAGGCTCCCAGAACGCTAAGGCAGATGCTCTGTCCCGAATGTATGACACGGAGGAGAGTTCCGTGGAGCCCACTCCCATACTTCCGGCGTCATGTCTGGTGGCACCGGTGGTATGGGAGGTTGACGCGGACATCGAGCGGGCGTTGCGTAACGAACCCACTCCTCCCCAGTGTCCAGAGGGTCGTATGTACGTACCGCTGGAGGTCCGCGATCGTTTTATCTATTGGGCTCACACGTCACCCTCCTCTGGTCATCCTGGCATCGGTCGGACAGTGAACTGTCTTAGTGGGAAGTACTGGTGGCCCACCTTAGCTAAGGACGTGAGGGTTTATGTTTCCTCCTGCTCAGTGTGCGCCCAGTGTAAGGCTCCTAGACACCTGCCCAGAGGGAAATTACAACCCCTACCCGTTCCACAATGACAGTGATCTTCCTCCCTCAAAAGGGAACACAACCATCCTGGTCGTTGTGGATCGGTTTTCTATGTCCTGTCGCCTCCTTCCTCTGCCCGGACTCCCTACGGCCCTACAAACTGCCAAGGCCCTATTTACACACGTCTTCCGGCACTACGGGGTGCCTGAGGATATAGTGTCTGATCGGGGTCCCCAATTCACCTCAAGGGTTTGGAGGGCGTTCATGGGACGGTTGGGGATCTCGGTTAGCCTTACCTCAGGTTTTCACCCCGAGAGTAACGGGCAGGTGGAGAGAATCAACCAG